CCCCCCCCACCTCAGATCTCACCTTCCTAACGTCCTTCCCTGCTCTTCCTCTCCTCCCCCATCATCCTGTTTCCTTACCTGTGAACCTCCTCCTCCTCATTAAGTCCAATCCTCGTCTCTGTCTCTCACCCTCTCTCTCTGCCCCCCCTCACCTTACTCTCACCTCTCCTCCATCTGTCCCCCCTCCCCCGAAGCTCCCCTTCATCAAACTCAGCCAAAGCAGCCTGCAGGAACTTGCTGCATGTGACACACACACACACACACACACTGTTAGTGCTGGAGAAGTCAGGGAGACTTGAGGTGTTGCGCTCAGGTGGAAACATGACTTCTCCTGTGTCTTCCAGGCGTGCGGCGCCCTCCGGACATGGACCAGCGGGCCGGTGCTAACGTGCATTACACGCTGCTGATCGCCTGCGTGCTGGTGGCCTTCTTCCTGGGCGCCATCTTGTCGGGTTTCCTGGTGTCATGCTACTGCGGCGGCAGCGCCGCCCACCGGGCTCGGAGGCTGGGGAAGGACCCGGAGGCGTCGCTGCCTCACGCCCTGTCGCTGCGATCCCTCGCCAAGCTCAACGGGCTGCTGGACGGACAGCCCAAGGTGAGCGAGACGAGGAAACGGATTCATCAGAGCTCACCTGAGCCCTGCAGCTGAAACACGTCTGCGAGCTGAGAGGCAGCGTGTTAATATTCAGCCCCTCCTCCTCCCCCGGGGTCAGACTTAATAAGCCTCACTTCAGTCTTTTATTCGCTCATTACTATCGAGCGTTTCATTAGGAACTCCATCCTCTGTCCACATGTCCCTGAGCAGGAAACTGAATCTCTGAGCTGACCTCTGACCCTCTGCTCAAATGTATATTTATACAAGTTCCTCATTGTTCTCCGTGGCTCCTCCCACTGAAGGGTCATCCTGTGCTTTAGAGATGAAACGGCAGGCAAAGATAACGACAGCTGATCGCAGCTTTTCTTCTTCTTCTCTTCCTCCAGGAGGACAAACTGGACGTGTCCACCCCGAAGATGTACAGCTCCTTCATCCCCAACGGCCGGGCCGAGCATCACCTCCACAGCCCCGTGCACCAGGGCCTCCCGCTGGGCGACCCCGAGCTCAGCCTGTCCCAGGTAGGAAGCGAATCTGTCCAATCAGAGTTTGTCAGTGTGAGCGATGGAGGATGGAGCGGACTGCAGGCACACACCTTGGACGTGTAATCGATCACATTTACACACCGCAGCCATTTACTGCTAACATTAAAGATGTTACATGTCTTTTATTTTGAAATTTCGCTGCAGGCCGGTCTTCTCACCCAGTCTCCCTTCCTGTGGACGATGCCGATCTCCGCTGAGCCAGACCGCAGCCGGAGCATCACCCATGGAGCACGACGCTCCGGCTGCGGTCCGACTCGCCGGAGACGTGTCTGCTTCTGCATAAAGTTTCCACCGAGGTTGCTGCACACATGCGGCTCTCAGACACTGATGTAACTCATAACACATAAGTGCTTAAAGCTTTGCACACAGCGCCCTCTCCTGTCAGCACGCAGCATGACGTGAGCGCTAAAGCTCATTCTGAGGTTTTCAGGTAGAACTTTTAATCTCGACGTTCACACTGACGCCACGGCCGCGTCTAACCTCTGACCTCTGTTTAGTCTCTGTCACAGGGGGATGGCGAGCTCTCCGGCCTGCCCACGCCCGACTCCACCCCGGAGCTTCCCATCAAGAACATGAAGGCGCTGCGACACCATCAGTACGAGAAGAACCAGAACTGCAACAACGCCAGAGACAAGCCCAGCTGCTCCGCCTCCAGTCTGGGATTCATGGCCGTCGTCGGGAACTCCTTAAACCAGCAGGTGTTTCCCTTCCCTCATCACCATGGCAACAGTTTAAGCAATGGGACGCCCCACGGGGTCGGCGCCTCTTCGACCTCTCTGCACCTCCCAGAGGAGAGAAAGATCTCCAATGATGAGCGGGCGGCGGTGGCGGCGGTGGGAGGGGGAGGAGTCCCGCATCACCACCACTCCCAGCAGTCCCTCCCCCAGACGGTGGTGGACGTGTCGGCGCTGGACGAGCTGCTCAAACACATCCACGAGGTCAGCGCGTCGGGAACCGGCGGCATCAAGGTCCTGACCTCCACCTCCTCTTCCTCGCTGTTCCCCGGGTCGTCCGGCTCCACCGCAGGGCACCATCACAGCCACCATCACCACCACGCACAGACGCGCACGCACCACTACAACCACGGCCATCACCATAGCAACCACCACCACAACAACAACAGCGGTCACCAGCAACAGAATGAGGCCGCGTCCTACCCCAGCACCTCCGCGCTGCCGAGCGACGGCCTCCCCAAACGCATCGACCCTCCTCCTCAGAACACTACCTCCTCCTCATCTTCATCCTCCTCATCCTCAAACAACCCCACCTCCTCCACCTCCATCCCCTCATCCTCCTCCTCCTCGTCCTCCACTCAGCTCCAGCAGCAAGTGATTCCAGAACGACCTGGAGGCGGCGGCGTCTCCGTGACGCGCCACCACTCTCAGCGTCACTCCCTCATCAGGATGGGCAGCGGGAGTGGCGCCGTGCCCCGCCACCACAGCTTCAACCAGCGAGGGCCGCAGCATGCTCACTTTCTCGCCAGGATGAACACTAACAACAGCAGCAACAACAGCGGTGGCCCCGCCCCCGCCAATAGCAAGCAGCCGTCGGTGGCCAGCGCCTGCCTCACACGGCAACACAGCTACAGCGAGGGGCCGCACGCCCAGCGGGCTGCCGTCGTCCGGAGAACGGCGTCGCTCAAACCCCAGATCCCTCCTAAACCGCTCTTCCTGCCAAACACAGCCACGTCACTGGGCGCAGAGGCGGGAAAGTACAACTACTGAGGCTGCCGGGCACCGCGCCGACATGGCCACTGCTGTCCTTAGACGCCTGCCGGGCTGGTGACAGAGGATGAGAGGAGAGCGCCGATGGGCTGGAGACACAAAAGAGACCCAGAGCTTTTTGTCCCCATCGCTCCTCGTTACCACCCCTCAGCCGTGCTTGCTGCCCCGCCGCTGAGAGAACGCCGTCTGTCGCCACTCGAGCATCTCTGGCTCATTGAAAGGGGCGGGGCTCGAAACCAGCACGAACTACTAAACATTCCAAAGGCGGCTCGAGGTGGCCACAGAATTCCAGATTAATGCAGTTTTCTTCGGAGCACTTTGATGCGACATCCTGTCGTCGGGCCCGGATTTCATTCGCCAGGATCGTCAGCAAACCTGAACCCCACAGCAGGGGCGGCTCCCGTCCCCGTGGGGGGCGCAGACTTGTGTTTTCAGCAGCACTCTGAGGACAGACCACCTCGGTCTTTTATACCATATTGGTATCTGCAGGTCGCCCAGCAGGTGTGATAACCGTCTCCACATCACTACAACGACCCTGTTGCATTAACGCCTGCTGAGCGTCACACCCAGACCCCCGCGGGTCGTTTCAGGCCCTGCGCTCGTCTGAAGGGGGCGTGTTTTCTCTTCAACAGCTGAGCGCACACTGTGGAAACTTTAACAAAGTTTGCTCTTAGATTGGTGTTTCACCCAAATTACTGCCACACTCATGCTCCCACTGACCTCCCAGGGTGTCTGGCGCCCACGAGGGCGGAGCAGAGGCAGACTCGTCACCTCAGCTATGCTCTGTAATCCCGCCCAAGGCTGGTGATGCGTTCAGGTACCTGTTAAACCTTTGAAATGTGAAAATGTGTGCAGGCATGAAACAGCCCAGAGTCTGGGAGAGGGGGCGTGGCCTGTTGTCTGCCGTGGCGGAGACATTTCAGTCTGACTTCAGTCTCACTCTGCACCTTCATTAAAAACTACATTTCCCAGCAGGCAGTGGGAACGTGAGGATTCTGTTGGTGGTAATTTGGGTGAAGGTTTGCTTTGCTTCGGTCTGTGGGAGGGTTTCCTCCCAGCTGAAGAACAGTGGATCAGCTGCTTTGTCTTTACCTCGGTGTTTGTTAGCGGCTCTGCCGGGTTCTGTTTCCGCCCCCGGGCTCAGGCAACACAGGTGAGACCGCAGAGCGGACCCTGCAGACCAGCGGGTGACGTGACGCCGGCTCTCCGTGTTGCCTCAGCGTGGATGCACCTGGACGCACTTTCAGGTCTGTTAGCATCATTGTCCACAGACGGATTCAGTTCCTGACTTGGGCGCTGAACACCTGAACACCTGCTTCATGTCACAAACCCTAAAGCTGCAGCTCTTTTAACTACACTGAGGCACAAACACTCAGAGCGCCACCAGTGAGCCGCACGGGCAGCGCCGCTAAACGAAGCAATAAATGTAAAAGAGATGATTCAGGACCTCTGCGCCTGCTCGTTCAGACCATAAAACATGAAGAGTTTCAGATACAAACACCAGTCACATGTCCAAAAACAGCTGGCATCAACTTTCAGATCCAGTCATTCGAGCTTTGGCGTGGCGCTGCTACTACTTTATCTCATTTATGCCCAAATAGTTTGAGGGTTTCTGGCCCGCCTGGCTGTTTAGGGACAGCGCCGGGGTACACCAGGCAGTCGTACTAACCAGCACAAGTTTGAGACGTAGGCTTGAATGCAGAACACGCGGCTGTGATGTGTAGTCGTCTGAGCGAACTGACTGTCGCGTCCTGCAGACGTGACTTCTCCCGCGGTCCACAGCGGAGGACGAGCTCTGCACCAACACGATGCAACACGCAGCCGAGAGCGAGCCGCGGTGCGTGATGCGTTTGTTGAGGTTAAATAAAAGAGGCCAAAGCGCGATGGTTGCTGCTCACTGTACAGGGATTCATGCCACAGCGTTTGAGGCGCTTACATCATCCTCTTTCATCTCGCCTGATTCAAACAGTTTGAAATACTGTAGTCACCGCAGATTACAGCTGCTGTGGTCACTGAAGGAGGCTGCCGCAGGACTCGGAGGCTAAATTTACCGCCAACCCCACCCTCTGCTCTCAGCAGGGGATTCTGCAGAAAAAGAAACGGCGTTTAAAAACGAGCCGAACGGGAAGGTTCGGGCGTTTGTGGCATCACTGCAGACGCACCTCTGTGAACACCGACCCGTTAGACACCGAGCGTTTCTCCAGGCGCTGCTTTGGAGAGGATATCTGAGAGGTGTCATCCAGCCGTGACAGCTAACGTACACGTCAGGAAAAGGATGACGAACAAGGTTCAGTCAAACACTCAGACTGTCCTTAAACGCACCAACATGGAGAGTTTTCAGGTCTGGATTGTTAAAAATAATACAAAATAGAATAGAACTGTCCTTCCTCATGGCTCTGTGCCGACAGAGCAAACCTGTCGATACGCATTATTATTATTAATAAACAATAAGTTGAATTCATTGAGATGTCAGCTGAATATCTTAAACAGAGCGACGGCTGTTTGAACCACAGACACGCCTGAACGCGTCGCCTCGGAAACTAAAACAACTTTTTTGCCTTTCGCATTCGTCCAATCGGTGGAAAAGGTAAAACACTGATTAGTGGAAAACAGGGAGGGCTGCGTATAAACACCAAAGTGTCACATCGAGCTTTTTGTATTTGAATCTTCCTTCAGATGAAAATGCTGCTTTAATGTTTTGCTCAGAGTTCTGGTTCTGGTTCAGTTGGTAACAAATCCGTGGTCCTGCTAACGTGCCGTAGATAATTGGCTGAACGCTCCTTTAGACCTGCGGCGAGCCGCTCCAACCTTCACACAGCACAAACACCACCTCAGAGTCTGTGAGCAGTGCTGAACTCTTCAATCTTCAAAGGTCCTTTATGAATGTTTCCACTGGGTGCTGCTAGGGGGCGCCGCAGAGCATAAAGACTTTGGCGTATTTTATAAAGGTTTTGTATGAGATGCACTTGTAACCTTGAAAATGATTTTGTTTATTCGTTTCGTGGTTCTCGTCCTCTGAAGTGCTGAGAGGAGCAGAGACGCTGTGGACTCACAGCGCCACCCGGTGGGCTACGCTGAAATGACAATGTAATAATGTCACACACTATTATGTTTACCTTACTGCTATTAATTAACAATGTGGATGACGGTGTAAATAAAGGCTACTGTGGAATAGTACTGGCAGCAGAGTGATTCTTCTTTGTGTGGACTCTTATTCTGAAAGGATGGGTGATTAGATTAGATTAGATGAAACTTTATTAATCCCTCGGGTGGGATGCCCAGCATTGTTCATAATGTCCATCAGTTTCTTTAATGTCCTTTTCTCTGCCACTGTCACCAGAGTGTCCAGCTTCATGCCGACCACAGAGCCAGCCCTCCTGATCAGTTTCTCCAGCCTGGATGAGTCCCTCTTTGCTGTGCTGCTCCCCCAGCACACCACAGCATAGAAAAGTACTCCAGCAACCACCGACTGGTAAAACATCCTCAGGAGCTTCCTGCAGATGTTAAAAGACCTCCTGAGGAAGTACAGTCGGCTTTGGCCTTTTTTATACTGGTGCTGCGTGTTGCATGACCAGTCCAGTTTGTTGTCCACCCACAGGAAACTGTGCTGAAACACAGATATTATAAGTCAGAACACTTCCTGGTGGTTGATGTGCTGAATTGAGGGACACAGCAAACAGCCCAGTGAGGTTTGTGGGGACCTTAAATGCATCGTCTTCATTAGGGTTCAAAGTTCAAGAGTGGACCAAGGATTATTGGTTCCTTCATCACTGAGGAGGATGTCCTGCTGTAAATATATAGGTACTTAACTCTTTGGTTCACTGTCCACACACAGACTGTTGCATTGCTGTGTTTTGTTTACAGAGCAGTAACCACAGGCGTTATTACAGGCCCTGTTCCTGAGTGCACAACCTGGCCAAGGCTTTTTCTTGCTGCGCTCCCTGGAACAGAGCACAGCAGGACCTGAACTGTTTAATGTTTTATTCTCAGTCAGTTGGGTTGATGAACTGTGATGACTACAGTAAGCTTTGCATGGATATTTAAAGCAGGTCAGTGTTCTGGTTCTGAGGTCTTTTATCCTCTCAGTGTTTCAGTCTCCAGTCTGAGATATCTTTGGTCCTGCCGAGGATAAAGATGTCCTTGACAAAGTTCCTAAAACTGGGGAAAAGGAAGTGTTCTCCAGCAGCAGATGGTTTAAGTGAGCGGTGTGTTTGATATTCTGCGGTGTCGTCTGGTTCATTTCAATTCTGCCAAATTAATTAAAAGCATATGAGTTTCTCACAGCTCTGGAGACAAACATCATCTGACTGTATGAAGGACTTCCTGCTTTCAGTTTTGGGTGTTTTACGTGTCCCGAATGCAGCTTCAGTGATCCTCGATGCGATGACCCTGAGACGGCGTGAGGACTCAAACCGGCTGTCAGGTGGTTTGTTGTAGCTGTTTGCAGAGGTCCTTGGAGGAGTAATGGCACTGTGACGATGTCCTGGATCACTGCTGATCACCTACTGCTGCGGTCAGTCGAACAGCACCATCAGCTGTGAAATTCAAACGGTGCACGGCGCGCTGTTCGATGACCACAATAAAATAACCGTTAAATAAAACGAAGGACATAAACGCTGACAAGCTGAAAGTCTGAACCCCGTCTGAGGATCCGAACAGGAAAACCATCCTGCACACCTCTGATGACTTCGCTTTATCCTTCCAGTAAGAGCCCGCCTCCAGGTCCAGGCGTCGTGGAGGTGCTGTGCTGCCATCTGCTGGTGTAAAGGTAGCAGGTCTTCTTACCTTGGGTTTCGTGAGGTAATATTAAAGAGAGGAAGGCTTTGATAAATGTAAAGACAGTGAAAGAAAAGCAGATTTTAAATATGTTTATACTGTCTATTCTGTAAAATAGTCAGATATCTATTCATATTAATGTACAGAATTCACCTGCTTGCTGCTACTACTGCACATTCACCCAGTGTATATACTATATGTGTGTGT